TTTCCAGACTGTCTTCCACATGAACCAATGTGTGTTAGTCCAGCCTGATCCAGCCCACTTCATACTCGGCCCTCAGGCAAACCAGTGGGACCTGCAGCCTAGTCAGGGTGATTCCTCATAACCCCTACCAGGCCTGCTCCCTACCCTGATTACCGTGCTTGCCTCTATGTACCACAGACTTGTTCAGTCTGTCCCGCATCCCATTTAGCTCTCATACATGTCAATGGCATTGAAGCCTACCTAGTTCAACCCAACCTGCCCTACTGTCCAGCCCACACATTTGCTGGCGGGTGCCGTTCTGTCTAGCCAGCACTGCCCCAGTCCTGGTTTTCATGTTCTCCAGTGGGAGTGGTAACCCAAGAGGCAGGTGCCCACTATTTCCCTCCTGGGCCACTGCCACTCCCACTCCCGGGTTATGCACTCTGCAGGTGGTTCTGCAGTTTGACTTGACAGAATTAGCTCCCAGTGCCAGCCTCTGCCAGTTGATGCTGTGGCAAGGCCAACCAACCCTCACCCACTCTGATTTATGCTTGGACCAGTAGGAACAATAAGCCCACAGGTGTTATAGCCCTTCCTGGTCTGGTCTGCGCCCATCCCCACTCATGCTCTCCGCCCATCCCCCCTCACGCTCTCCAGTGGCAGTGGCTGTCCAGCAGGGGAGCCCTCCACATTCCCCCTACTGGCTTTGCCCCCTCCCTCCCTGGTTCTCATGTGTGCTGCTTGGGTACTGCGGTCGGTCTGGTACAGCCCACCTCACCTTGGCATTTGCCAGTGGGTGTTGTAGCCTGCCAGGCCCGGGCCACCCCCAGTTCCAACTGACACTGGTTACAACCTAGCCCAGCCCAGCCCAGCCCAGCAGACACCCAATCCCAGCCTTACTGTGCACTGGTATGTGTTGTGACCAAACGTGGCCTGACCCACACTCTGTTCTGGTGCTTGGATTTACCAGTGGGTGATGTGAACTGGTTCAGCCTGGTCTGCTTTTGACCTATGCCAAATGTATGCTAGTGGGTATCTTTCTCTGGCCTGGTTTGGGTTGCTCCCTATTGTGGTTCTTGTGCTCACCTGCAGGGACTGTGTCCCAATAAAGGAGTTTCCCAAGCTCCTCCATCAGAACCTCTCCCATTGCTAGATCTTGCGCATACTCATGGGTCCATGAGCCAGCCCTACTCCTGTCCTAGGAGGAACAGTGGCCTTTCCTGACTGGCCTTCAACCCATTCTGGTTCTTACTGTTGGATATTTCAGTGCAGCCAAGGCTCGTCCATACCCAGACACAGCTCACGCATGATTCAGTAGGGGCAGAGATCCAGCTTAGTCCATCCTACATCTATTCTAGTTCTCATGAGTACCAGATAGTTCTTGAGTCTATCCTGGCCTGGTGTGTCCAGTCTCAGTCCACACTTGTGCCAAGGGAGACTGCAGCCATGTCTAGACCAGAATGCAGTCCCCACTTCAGCCCCTGCACTTACCAGTGGGGGCCCGAACCCAGCAAGCATGTACTCTCATAGCTCCCTAACTGGGCCTATTCCCAGCCATAGATTTTGTGCATGCCAGTGGTTGCTCTGACCCAGCTGACTTAGCCCCTCACCTGTCTCAGCCTTTGCCTTTGATGCTGTGGTCTAGTATCCCTGGCTCATGCAGACCAGTCGCTGTAAGAGCCTAGCTCAGCATGACCTGTGCTCCAGCCTGATTTCTGTTCTTCCTTGTGAGTTAAGGTTTGCTCATCCTTGCCCAGTTCGCCTCCTTCCAGTTGCAGCCTGGCCCACCTCACATCCTGTTTTAGGATGCACATTTGGGTGCTGCTGCCTTGACCTGCCCAGATTGTAGTGAGTTTCTTTACCCGTGACTGATGGCAGGTTCCATGGTCACACCTAACTCAGTCCGTCACCACCTCAACTCATGAGCTAACCAGTGGGATTTGTATATCCACAGGATTGGGCCCACACATTCCCCACAGAATATACCCCCAGACCTGGTTCTCTTGTGTGCTGGTTAGTGCCTTGACCCTACCAAGTGTGACCCGTCCCCTGTTCCACAACTCAGTCAGGTACTGGTACCTAGCCCTGCCAGACAGGCTCCCAGCCATAGGTTTTGTGTGAACTAATGTGTGGTGATGCTCTATGCTAACAGCCCATCTCAGGATTCCCATATGGGCTGGTGAATCAGTCTGGCCCAAATAGATCTTATGGACTCTCCCCCCTCCAAACCACCAGATCTCAGTCACCACATTTGCAAGCAAGTTCTGTGACCCCATCGTTGGGAGTCTCAAAGGATTCATCTCTCACCTACACTCACACTGGCCGTATCCCTGAATGTCCCTAGGTAGAAATTACATACTCTAAAAACCCTGGAGCTCACTGCAGGGTGGCCAGCAGGCAGAGCCTGGTCCCCAGTGGTGCATTGGCTGTCCAAAGCCTAGGACTTGCTCACTGTGTTGCGACTTTGTCCTTGGGCCGAGTCCCAAGCATTGAGTCTGACTTGGCTCGGGCACTCTTCGCGACCACCATGCTGCAAAGGGCTCCTTTTGCCTCAGCCTCCTAGCTGAACACTGCCAACACTCTTCCTTCTGCAACATGGTGGTGGCAGGGCGGAGTCACAGGCTTAATCCAGTTCCCACGATTCTCTCATGGTGTACTTACCCCAAGGAGGGAAATTTCTCCAGCCTGGGAACTCCTAGGTCTCGCTCACCATGTGGTAAAGGTGTTCTTGGGCCCAGTCTTCAAGCATTGGGTTCGACTTGGCTCGGGGCACCCTTCGCAGCCAGCACGCTGCTGAGGGCTCCTTTTGTTCCAACCCTCCCACCGCCCGAACCTGTTGTTTTTCTTGAAAGGCAGATTTGCATAGAGAAGGCACGACAGGACTTCTGTCAGCTAGTTCACTCTCAAAGTGGCTGCCGTGTCCTGAGCTGAGCTGATCCAATCCTAAGTCAGGCGCTTCTTCCAGGACTCCCACGCAGGTGCATGGTCCCAGGCTCTGGGCGAACCTCCACTGCTTTCCCAGGCCACAGACATGGAGTTGGACAGAAAGTGCAGCAGCCGGGACACAAACCTGCACCCATATGGGATCCCAGCAGTTGCCAGTCTAGGATTTAACCACTGAGGCGTCAGAACACATCTGCTTAATAGCAGTTTTAACAGGCACACTTTATCACTCACTGCTCACAGAGGCTCAATTTTTTTTTTATTGGTTACTTTGCTCTATGTATTATTTTAGTCACTGATAATTCAATAGCAAAAAACCACAGGAATGCTCATTACACCATTGGCCCTAGTAACCAGTCATTGGAAACATTACCAAGAATAAAACAAAGGAAAACGAGTAACAAGGTTACTCAATAAGGTCATGGAAAATATGTTGTATTATTTAAAAAATGCATGGGTTTTTAAAAATGTTACACCAAGAGATACTTAGTTTTGCTTTTTTTTCTTTAAAAAAAATCAATGATTGATTTGAAAGGCAGAATGACAGAGACAGACAGATCTTGCATCTGCTGCTGGTTCACTCCCCAAATGCCCACAATGCCCAGTGCTAGCTCAAGTCAAAGCCAGCAACCAGGAACTTCTGGGTCCCTAGGTAGACACAGGGACCCCAGTAAACTTACTTTTAATTATACTTTCTATGGATTTTTTGAAGTCCTTTCATGTTATACCATATTCTAACAACATTGAAAAATAGTCTAAGAAATTGGGCCCAGCACGGTGGCGCAGTGGTTAAGGTCCTCGCCTTGCACGCCCGGGATCCCATATGGGCGCCGATTCTAATCCCGGCAGCCCCGCTTCCCTTCCAGCTCCCTGCCTGTGGCCTGGGAAAGCAGTTGAGGATGGCTCAAAGCTTTGGGACCCTGCACCCGCATGGGAGACCTGGAAGAGGCTCCTGGCTTCAGATCGGCATAGCATTGGCCGTTGCGCTCACTAAGGGAGTGAATCATCGGAGGGAAGATCTTCCTCTCTGTCTCTCCTCTCTGTATATCCGCCTTTCCAATAAAAAAAAAAAAAGGCAAATTGACAATAAACATGTTACAGGAATTTACTTATAGAGTGAGCAACAATATATCCATGATAAATATACACATAGAAGTATAAAACCAGGGACAACTGGCTAATCCTGCCCCTTCAAGTGCCAGGATACCATATGGATGCCAATCCGTGTCCCATTTGCTCCATTATACATCCAGCTCCCTGCCTGTGGCCTGGGAAGGCAGCTGAGGACGGCCCAGAGCCTTGGGACCCTGTACCCATGTGGGAGACCTGAAGGAGGCTTCTGGCTCCTGAGTTTTGATTGGCTCAACTCTGGCGTGTTGTGGTCATTTGGGGAGTGAACCAGCGAATGGAAGATCTGTCCATCTCTCCTCTCTGTAAATCTAATCTGCCTTTTCAATAAAAATAAATAAATCTTTGAACAAAAGAAGGAAAATGGAATTTACTAGGTGTCATGCAGGCCTGCTTTGCATTTGCCTTGTTTTATTAAGCTAGATTTGTTGTAGTGGGTTGGGTTTTGATTTATATTTTACGTTTTATATTCCTGAAATAGTTTATAATAATTCAGATTATCCCTCATTATATGATGGAATTATATGAATGAAATTTGAAGGAAGCTATACAAGACTCTTAAGTTGTTGCTGATGGTTCATTTAACCTTTCACTTTGCCCTATAGTATGCTAAAAATGAGGAAATGTTAATGTGAATTAAAACCTGGTAACTTAAATTAAGTCACCCTTTCTTGATATAAAATCTACACCCTTTCTACATGCCTTTTTAGTATGTATCTTCATTTCTAGAAATAGTCTGTTTTCCTAAGTTTTGAAATGAAGTCTCATGTGCTCTTATCACTCATCTGTTACTCATCCCCAGGGAGGTTGTTGTGTGTACTTTTGCAGACATGAAAGAGGGATCCATACTGTTGAGAAGGAAATGTCATCTTCGTTATTCTGTGTACCAGGCCTCGGCCTCCTGGTGAGCTACTGATGTGAGAGCTAAATCACCCTGTCATCTTTTCCAGGTAAATGCAGTGCGTGCGGTTGTTCCAAATAAGAGCAACAATGAAATCATACTGGTTTTGCAGCACTTTGATAATTGTGTGGACAAAACAGTACAAGCATTCATGGAAGGTAATCCTCGTTTTTTTTTTTTTTAGAAAAAGTTTGCATTTGTTCAAATAGAAATTGCTTCAGACTTGCAGAATATTCCACAATTCAGTGTGTGACAGACAGCGTGTCAGATCCCAGCATAAAGTCACATATCATGATGTATTTTTAGTTAATTTATTGGTTTTTTTTAAACACAAAAAGATACAGAGGAAGAGTTTCCATTCAGTGGTTCACTTTCCAAGTACCTAGGAGCTAGGGCTCAGTCCAGCTCTCTGCAGTGTGTGGCAGAGCCCAGCCACTGAGGTCCTTACCTGCTGCCTTGTGGGGTGCACGTGGCCTCTCGGGTCCTCAGCTGCTGCCTTGCGGGGTGCACGTGGCCTCTCAGGTTCCCAGCTGCTGCCTTGCGGGGTGCACGTGGCCACTCGGGTCCCCAGCTGCTGCCTTGTGGGGTGTGCTCCGGAAGCCGGTGAATTTAACCTAGGCCCTCTGCTCCAGGATGTGAGTGAGCATGCCAAAGGGCATCTCAGCTGCTCTGTCACATGCCTGTCCCCATGACATTTTTTGAAATGTAAGATAGTTCTTTGAGCTTTATTATCTGAAATAAGACAAAAGTTGAGAAAGCTGCCTCATTTTACTTAAAATGTTCTCTAATGATGTTTAAGAAGAAATCATGTGGCTAGTGTTGCAAAAGGTTGGAGTTGGGTTGCATAAGAATTTAAGAGACCTAGTAATAAAGCAGACTTAGAGGCCTAGGAACTGGTGGCAAACTTAAGGACTCAGCATTTTCTTCCAAGCTCTAATGTCATTTAGCTTGGCTCTTCTAGGTGTTCAGATGTGGTGTGGATGTCACTGCCCATATCTAACAAAGACGAGTGACTGTGCAGTCAGGCCTTCAGAGATATGGATTAGGTAACTTGCTAGAAACTACGTGAAACTATCTGTACAGTGATGTCAGGTTAGGTCTCCCTGTTTCCATTTTCTTGAATTTACAAGCAGAGGATAAACACAGGATGAATGCTGTGAGATTTCTCTTTGTCCTCATCTGCTTTGATATTCGCATTTGAGTCCAGTATAGTGTGCAGTTTTCTCCAAATCACCACAGCCAAGGTGCTTTCCCACCTGGAGGGAGCTGTTGGCACACTCGGGCTGACACCAGGCTTCTTTGCATTCAGCCTGAGATGGCAAATAGAAGAATCTTCTTCAAAGAGGCCCTGCCACTTTGGTTTCTCCTTGGAAGAACTTTCTGTGGAAAGTGCATAGAGACCGGGGATCTGACGAGGCAGGAATTTGAAAGGAGATTCGTGGCATGATTATATCACCCCACTACTTTAGGGCTGATCCTCAACTTTGCTGTTGGGGGGCTTTTCAAATTCTCCCCACAATCCAACATGCAGGGACTCTGACTTTCTGTTCTAGGTAGTGCCACTGAAGTGCTGAAGGAATGGACAGTGACAGGCAAGAAAAAGGTGAGTGAATCAAATTTAAAAGCAGGATGTTTGTGCTTGTATTATTATAGAAACTTAAAACTACAGATATTTGAGGAAAATATTTGTATATACATCTTTAGTTCACGTGATTAGAAAGCATGCTCTTTTGACATGTGAACACAGCTGTGGCCCAACTACCACTTTGTCTGGCTTTGGTTTGCTAATCTCTGGAAGAAGAAAATAATACTAAAAAGTACAAGTACCTAATTTAATACCTAACATGTGCATTAGTTCTCATTGTCTCTCTTTACCTACTTAAAACTAGGGTGTTTTTCCCAGTTTATAGGAGCTGATCTCAAAATTCTTTCAAGCTCTGTCCCCTAAATCTGGCCCTATTAGGAGATGCTTGGAATATGGGTTCAAATCTATAAAGATGTTTCTGGGGTTGTTTGCTTCCTGATTTAGGTTAGTACTAGAGTCCTGAAATGCTTCTCTGATGACTCTAGGTCACTTCTTTAGTAGAAGTTGGCTGAGATCTAAACCAAACTGGGCTTGGCCCCACAGGGTGCCTAATCAACTACAGATTCTCCTGCAGCTCTTCCCTTCTAGCTGTGAATACCTTCTTCCCACTTCCTTCACCCAGCGTAAAGGAGTGTTCTGACAACACTGATTCCTGAATTTGTTGGCCAAGACTGCAGTGGATAATACCTGCGCATGTCTGTATCTACTTGTTTATTTAGTTAGCCGTAGAATTCTGTATTTGAGTTAGTCAGACCGAGGGTAGATTCTCAGAAGCAGAATTGTTGGTTGCAGGATATGTGCGTTTCTGACTTGGGGTTACTGGAACGCCATGGAGGTACCAACTAACATCCCTTCCAGGAGTGTGTGAACGTGCCCCCTTCTGGATGTCCTCATTCCTAAATGGCACCACACATTGCTTACCTTGGCTGTGTGTAACAGGTGAAAAGCAGTAGGCCAGTTTTGATTTACATGTCTCTCATGAGACTGCAGATGTACTTTTTGTCTACAGCTTATGCCACTTTTTTTCATTGGCTTGTTGTTAGAGCTCCAAGTTTATTTAGCTCTTTTTTCACATTTTACAATTTTTCTTTTGAAATTAATTAAAATAGGTTTTAACCACGAAAAAATATTTATATGATTTGATCCAAAATACATAGTGTTATATAATAAAATGTTATTTTAAGTAGTAGTTAAACACATACAAAAATATTTTTAATTTCTTTTTTTTAAAGATTTATTTATTTTTATTACAAAGCCAGGTATACAGAGAGGAGAGACAGAGAGGAAGATCTTCCGTCTGAAGATTCATTCCCTAAGTGAGCACAACGGCTGTTGCTGTGCCAATCTGAAGCCAGGAACCAGGAACCTCTTCCGGGTCTCCCATGTGGGTGCAGGGTCCCAAGGCTTTGGGCCGTCCTGGACTGCTTTTGCAGGCCACAAGCAGGGAGCTGGATGGGAAGCAGAGCAGCCAGGATTAGAACCGGCGCCCATATGGGATCCCGGCGCACTCAAGACAAGGAATTTAGCTGCTAGGTCATGGCACCGGGCCCAATAGTTTTGATTTCTAGAAGAATAAATGAAAAAACTATAACATAATATTAGTTGTTTTTGAGTAGTTAGACTTAATGTCTCTCTTGGTGTGGGTTTCTTTTATTTTTCTCTTTTGTTTTTTCAAATCTTCAATAACCTTAGAACAAAAAGAAGAAAAGTAAACCAAAACCTTCAGCAGAAGGCAGTAAGAGCATGCCAGATTCCAGCAAGTCTGCTTCCACCCGGGAGGAGCCGTCTGTGAACGGCTACCAGGTCAACGGGGCCATCCATGACACCGAGTCTGCAGACTCACTCAGCGAGGGTCTGGAGACGCTTTCACTAGATGCCAGAGAGCTGGAAGATCCCGAGTCGGCCATGTCAGACACACTGGATAGAGCAGGTGAGTTCATTACATTTGCATTCACTGGGGCTGGCATTGTGTTTTAGGAGGGAAAAGCCACTGCCTGTGATGCCAGCATCCCATGGGTGCCAGTTCATGTACCAGCTGCTCCACTTTAAATCGAGCTCCCTGCCATGGCCTGGGAAAAGCAACGGAAGTTGGCCCACGTGCTTAGGCCCAGCTACCTGCATGGCAGACATGGATGAAGCTTCTGTCTGTCCAGGTGGAGTCCTGACTGTTAATGCCATTTGGAGAATAAACCAGTGGGTGGAAAACTCCGCTCCCTGTGTCTGTCCATGGCTGTAGCTCTGATTTTTTTTTTAAGATTTATTAATTTTTATTGGAAAGTCAGATACACAGAAAGGAGGAGAGACAGAAAGGAAGATCTTCCATCCAATGGTTCATTCCCCAAGCAGCCACAACACCTGCAACCAAGCCAATCTGAAGCCAGGGGCCTCTTCCAGGTCTCCCACACGGGTGCAGGGTCACAAGACTTTGGGTCATCCTCATCTGCTTTCCCAGGCCACAAGCAGGGAGCTAGAAAGGAAAGTGGGGCTGCCAGGATTAGAACTAGAGCCCATATGGGATCCTGTTGCGTTCAAGGTGAGGACTTTAACCACTGTGCCTTCGGGCCGGGCCCTGTAACTCTGATTTTCAAATAAAATAAATCAATGTTTAAAAATAAAGCTGTACTCACTTGAATATACAGAGTCTTCCGGTTTGAAAAAGCAGTCAAATCTAGTTAGTTGTTTACTTTTTATTTCCTGCGTTCTCTTGCTCCCTCCTTTTTTTTTTTTTTTGTTTTAAGATTTATTTATTTTTATTGGAAAGTCAGATACACAGAGAGGAGGAGAGACAGAGAGGAAGATCTTCCATCCGATGATTCACTTGCCAAGTGAGCGCTACTGCCAGAGCTGAGCCAATCCGAAGCCAAGAGCCAGGAGCCTCTTCCAGGTCTCCCATGAGGGTGCAGGGTCCCAAGGCTTTGGGCCGTCCTCGACTGCTTTCCCAGGCCACAGGCAGGGAGCTGGATGGGAAGTGGAGCAGCCGGGATTAGAACTGGCGCCCATATGAGATCCCGGTGCATGCAAAGCAAGGACTCTAGCTACTAGGCTACTGCTCTGGGCCTAGCTCCTCCCCCCTTTCTTCTCTTCTTTCTCTCCCTTTCTTTTCACCCTGCTTTCCTTCCTCCTTCCCTCTCACCCACTCTTTTTCTGTTTTGTTTCTCTTTTTCTCTTAGGAAAAGAGAACTCCCATACACTAGTTCACTTCCCAAAGGCCCACAAAGTCTGTGGTCAGTTCAGACTGAAGCTGGGATCCAGGACATCGATGTGTGTCTCCCATATGGATGGCAGGAGCCTAGTTCCTTGGGGCATCAGCTCTGCCATCCAGCGTCTACACGAAAAGGAAGCTAGAGTCAGAGCCTGAGCCTGGGTGGGTGCTAGACAGTCAGATGTAGGATCTTACCCACTAAGCTGAACCCTGCTCACCTTTTCCTGCTCCTTCACGTTTTGGCTTGTTGTGGTGGGGGGGGGGGGTGTGGGTGTGGGCGTTTTTTGCTTAGTTGGTTTGGTTTTGAGTTTTATAGTTGTCGGAGGCCTTGAGATATAATTTGTTTTCTGTATCTCATATTTTAACTATTCTAAATCAGTCTTATGGAAACTCTCTAACATAATAAGCAGAGGAATGCTTTTGGAGACAGCAGAAGACTAAATGTATTTTTAAGTTACAGATTTCTTAAGGAAAAATGATGATGAGATGTAAATTTTTATTTGTTTAGACTCAGCCTAATGAGGACTGTCTAATAATACTTTTTTAATCCCAGCTTTCATAGGAACTAGATGGTTCGTGTTTTGCTTTCTGATTGAGAGGTGTAATGGTGTAAGGCAGTTAGTTGTAAGTTCACTGCTCTTGTACATTTCTTTGTGAACCAACCATTTTATTGATGACTGGGAAGATACTGGAAATGTCTCTGTAAACATTGCTGGGTTAATCTAATTCCACTTGCCTTGTTGTTCCCAGAATGAGAACAGGGTAAGAATTATGCTATATTTTTCTGATGTGCTTTTCTCAATTAATTCATACACACTAAAGAAAAATATTGTATCTACCCTGAGCTAAAATAAACCAGTCATGATGATTCCATTTATTCTCTGAGATAGCTTTTTTCTTACTTTTTTCTCTTTCTCTAGCTCTAAAAGGTTTTTTTTTTTTTAGTTGGAAAGACAGATTTGTAGAGAGAAGGAGATACAGAGAGGAAGATCTTCAGTCCACTGGTTCACTCCCAAGTGGCCACAAAGGCTGGAACTGAGACATTTCGAAGCCAGGAGTCTCTTCCAGATCTCCCAGGAGGCTACAGGGTCTCAAGGCATTGGGTCATCCTCTGCTGTTTCCCAGGCCACAAGCAGGGAGCTGGATGGGAAATAGAGCAGCCGCTCATGCATTGGCACCCATATGGGATCCCCACAGTTGCTAGGCCACCATGCCAGGTCCCCAAAACGTTTTAGAATTCTTTTCTTCCTAAGACAGCATGAAAGTCTTTTCTTCAGCGTGACGTAAAGGCATCCAATGGGAATTGGTGGTGGTAGCTCTTTTTGCTTTTTTTGTACTGAAGCTATGCAGGAGGTACAAATAATAAGAGAGCTCTGAGGCCTAGGGAGTGAGCTCCTTGTGTAAAGATGGGTCATGGGTCAGCCACCTACTCCTGCCAGAAACTTCTGACAGCTGACAGCCACACCCCCAATTCCAAGCTTCCTGCTATGCCATCAGCTCATGTTCACAGCTGTTGAAAGATAGTTTTACTTAAATCATTTGTACTTGCTTTCCTTGTGTACTTTAGGCTGTTGAATTGATTTGCTCCTACATTGTACTCTAAAGCACCATCCTCTTTCTTGGACAGGATCCATGCTGCAGAATGGTGTCTCTGATTTTGAGTGCAAGTCTTTGAATACACACTCCACTCAGGGTTCCCAGCAAGTCAGGAATGCTGCCAGAGGGCCCTCGAGATCTACCAGCGGACCTCAGTTTTCAAATCTGGGAGCGGAAGATGTTCCAGTCTCCTCCAACAATAAAAAGCTAGGTAAGTCAGAGACCCCTGTGAGAAAGAATAAAAAACTTCACTGTTAATCCTGATAAGATTTGAACAGAATCAGGTATCTTTTGAGTTTCCCACACAATGATTCCTCACCACACTGTGTACCCAGTTGGAGTAGATGTGAAGCTGCCTTGTTAGAGTGACAGGGACCCCTCTCTGTGAGTTAAAGTCAGACTCCCTTGCGAGGATGACTAACCTGCTAATACAGCCTGTCTCCCTTATTTGTTTAGCTGCAGTATTTGTGTGCCGTTTCCGTCATTTTAATTTCCTGGTTGATACAACAAGTAAAAAATCTTCCATCTCTGAGATGTATATAAAAGATTGATTTGGTTAAAAATCAGAGTTAGGGAGAGGAAGAGATAGAGGGAAAGAAAGAGCTTTTCCATCCTCTGGTTTACTACCGATATGACCACAACAGCCCAGGCTGGACCAGGTCAAAGCCAGAAACCAGGAACCTCTTCTTCCAGTTCTCCCGTTTAGATGCTGAAGCACAAACACTTGGATCCTTTCAGCTGCTTTTCCCAGACTGTTAGCATGGAGCTGGATTGGAAGTGGAGTAGCTAGGACATAAACTAGCTCCTGCTTGGGATACTGGCATTGCAGGTGGCTAACCCACTGCACTGCAGTGCCTGCCCTGACATGACTTTTAGAGAAATATCTTTACATGATTTTACTAATATGTAAGCAACTCTAACTTTTAACAAATCACTTTCTCTTCTCAATGCTTAACGTTGACTAGTGCTAACTCTTTGTTGTTTAAGATTAATTTATTTATTTGAAAGAGTGCTTCTCGGCCTCTCAGCTAAGATCAAGTGAAAGTCGGAGAAAGAGAGAACCTTCCATCTATTGGCTCACTTTCTAAAGCATACAACAGGCATGCCAAAAACAAGAGCCAGGAATTCCATCCAGGTCTCCCACATGATGACAGGAACCCGGACTTGGGCTGTCACCTGCTGCGTTCTGGACCCATAAGCAGGAAGTTGTATTAGAGGCAAAGTATCCAGGCCTTCAGCTGGCACTCCAGTATGGGACACTGCTGTCCCACACACCAGCCCTGTCTTAAACAAAACAAAACAAAATACACAGCCAGTAATCACATAGCAATAATAGCCCCTCTGTGTTATATATCTAAGCATGGTGGTCTGCCTCACTCCACTGAGCAATGAAACCAATCTAGAGAACACTTATAACCCATAGCTCTTTAGTGAATCATTCAGCCCACCTGAGCTAACTTGTAATTAGTGAAGTGCTCCTTTTCATCCAGGTATTAACCCTCAGGTTGTTACGAAATAGCCAGACTGACAATATCCAGGCAAGCACCTCCCCCCAAAAAGAAACGCATAATCATAAGGCTGGAGGGCTTGTAGGTTGCTTATGAAAAACATCAAATTGGGATGAGAAACAGTTTAAGAGTTGATAATGTGTGTCTGTTCACAGCTGTAGACTTAGAGCTGTGGTTCCAGCAGTCAGTTATAGATGACTTTAGCATCAGTGAACACAAAGACTTAAAGAATTCTCAGAAACTGGTTAAAATATGTTGGAAAATAAATGTTTTTCGTCTTCTGCAAAGCTCACTTCTCTGCATAACATACTTTAAGCTGCACTATTGAAAGAGAACATTTAACTCCTTAGGGAAAATTGTCCTATTAAAGTCTCCTGTTTAGGGAGGTTTAACAATTTGGAACCTATTCGAATGGTTTGTTGTTGTTTATGTGTTTTTTTTCCCCTCTGTGTTTCATTTCATTTCAATAATTTAAAAATTGCTATGTTCAAATTCATTATTTTTTTCTAGTTAGTGTTTCTGCTCTGCTATTAATTCCACCCAGTGTGGTTTTCATCTTAGATTCTGTTTTATTCCTCCCCAGAGCCTTTTTGGAGTTTTGTAAAATATCTCCTGAATCTTTTTTTAATAGGCTGCGGCTGCCCTCTGCCTTCTTGAACATATGATACTTCTTTAAACGTGGTTTTGATTTGTTTTATTTTCAGTGCTGTTTACATGGTTGAGGAGAGATGCATGTTCATGTGAGCCTCTGCTCAGGGTGGAGAGGGTCAGGAGTGGAGCAAGGTGTGTGGGACAAAATGTCGGGGAGGCAGGGAGGGCTCTGCTCCTGTTGTCAAACCACATCAGCACCCAGGGATGGGAGATGGTCATTTGATGACCACAGTGTGGGGAAGAGAGTTCCAGGGGTGTTACTTGAGTGGTTTTGATAGTTCCGAGAAGTTGTTGGTTTTATTGCTCCAGAGCTAAGAAAATCTTTCGAAGATCCATTGGTTGACAAAGTCCACCTTAGTGCATCCACAGACCCAGGAACGTGCTGCAAAACTTGGCCAGAATTGTCCGACCTGTTTACTTTCCATTCTCTGACGTGGCACTGGACATTCTGTGCTGGCTTACATGAGCTGATCCAACCATCAGCAACTGAAGAGGCCCAATCCTGGTACTGCATTCCAGGGTCAGATCACATATCCTGTGATTGTCCTTGTGGCTAGGGTCTGAGTTCTACAGTCTAATCAGGGAATCCTCCAAAAAACCTTAGCTGGGGTTACCTTATATTTGACTCTTATGTGCACCAGCCAGTACAGAGTCAGGTTCTGTCTTTCACCTGCACCAACCAATGCGGGTGGATGAGGCTGCTTGGTCAGTTCCACCCCAGTCCCATTTCTCATGTAAATTAATGGGTGCTGTGACCAGCCCACCACAGACCTGGTCCTCATGCATATCAGTGGATCCAGTGGTCTCGTTGGGGAAATCCTTCAATAATCCTCAGCAGGCCTTCCCCAAATCCCCGTTTTTGTGTGTGGCAGCCTCTGCAGTGGGCTAACCCGGCCCATCCCACATCCCTTCTGGCTCTCATGCACACCCGTGGGTGCTGCAGCTTAGCTCAGCCCAAACTACCCCAGACCCAACCTCTTGTGCTAACAGATGCTGCTACCTTGTCCAGCCTGACCTGCCCCCAGCCTCGTTTCTTGGGTTCATTAGTGATAGATACAGCCCAGCCAAGAAGTGCCCACAGTTCCCCTAACATGTTCCCAGGCCTGAATCTTGTACCTGCGAGGGGGCACTGGGGTCCAACCGGACTTGTCTCTCACCCAGTCCTGGTATTTGCCAGGTGGTGTTGCAGTCTAGCATGGCTGGCCTGTACCCATTATGGCTCTTGTGTGTACCAGCAGGTATAGCAGCCTAGTCTGTCCTGTCCTCAGACTGGCCTACCCCCAGTCCCAGCTCCCACACTCACCAGTGGAAGCAACAGGAATTTCCAGTGTTCTCATACCAGGCCACTGCAAGCCCTGGGTCTTAAGTGTGCCAACAGGTGCTATAGCTTGGCTCAGCCCAGCCTACACCCAGTCCCAGCTCTCACTTGTAGGTGTAGCAGCCTAGTTCACCCTGACCCTCACTCAGCCCTAATGTGAACTGGTGATTGTTGAGGTCCAAACTAGCCTAGCCTGTGCCCTGTCCTGACTCACTCGTGCCAGTGTACGCTGTAAACTTAGCGTGCCTTGCCTACCCCCAGACATGGCTCCCGTGTATGTCAGTGAGTACTGCAGTTCAGCCTGGTCTAGCCTGCTATCAGCCTAATATCTCACATTCACCAATGGAAGCTGCAGCCTAACAGGGGAGATCCCCAGACTCCCCTACCAGACCTACCTGCAGCAGCGGACCCTGTGTGTGCCAGCACATGGTGCTACCCTGACTGACATGGGCCCCAATCTTGACACTCACCAGTAGGACTGTAGCCTAGCCAGTTAGGGCTCTCACTCATTCCAACTCTCACCAAGGAGTGTTTTGCCTAGTCCAGCCTGGCCTACCTTCAGACCCAGCTCTCATGAGACCTGAAGGGTGCCAAGGCTAGCCGGCCTGTCCCATACCCATTCTGGCTCTCGGGATTGCCAGCAGGTGCTGGAACGGTGCTGGAACCTAGTCCAGTCTGGCCTGCTCCCAGATGCAGCACACACTCTATTCGACCCACTGGCCCAAGTTTTGCATTCAGTAGTGGGAGCTACAGTTCAGAGACCCCAGAGTTTCCCTATCAGGCCCGTCCCCAATCCTTTGTCTTGTGTATGCTAGTGGGTGATTCCCTGACCCACCTGCAGTCTCAGCTTTCGCTAATGGGTGTTGCAGTCTAGCCCATCTGGGTGTGGCCACACCCTGTCCTGGCTCTCCTGCATGGCCCACCTCCACATTTGCATGTGGGTACTGAGGTCTAACTCAGCCAGGCATGACCTCTAGCCCCAACTTTCTTGACTGCCAGCAGGCAATACTGTTTAGCCCAGCCCAGGTTTCCCATGTGGGCAGGTGCTTTGGTCTGACCCAAACATACCCTCTGGTTTCCCCCATCTAAAACCACTCTGTGTCAGCTCCCTTGCCTACCTGCAAGTGCAGTGGCCTGGTCAGTGGAAGACTCCAGAAGTCATTCCTCCCCTGTCAAACATGCCCTCAGCCACTCCCACTCCAACACGTCATCAGACCCCCATCCCTGGGCAACCTGTAGACCCCAACCTCTGGGCTGGGGTGGCATGTCCCAGCCAAGAGTTTCTTGCCATCCCTACTTATCTCAAAAAGAAAGAAAAAAAGAGCACAGAATAAGCAACTGTGCTGGCACACTGGTATAGTTAACACAGATTTGGCATTAACCACACCCAGATGCCCAGCAGCTGTTGGCTGCTCTTCTCCCAGCAGTGTAACACTTCCCTAGGTACAAGGCAGCCTAGGCAGTTGCAATTTTGATTTTTTAAACTTTTTTGATTCTGTCATCTGTGTCATTTCTACAGCGTTTTCTCTGGATTGAATTAATTCACATCTTATTTTTTTGTTTATTTGCTTGATTTTTAATTTTATCTGGTTATGAATTTTACTTTGGTGGTGGTTAAATATTTTTATTGATTATTAATTCAAGGCAGAAAGAGAAGAGACTACAGAAAGAGATCTTCCATTGACTGGTTCATTTCCCAGATGCCCACAATATCTCCAGGGCTGGCCGAGCCCAAGTTCAGGAACCTGAAACTCTACCTGGGTTCCCCTTGTACCTTTTCCACCGCCTGCTGCCTCCCAGGGTACACATTTCTAGAAAGCTGCAATCGTAGATGAAGCTGGGGCTTGAAACCAGGTTGTACAATCACAGGAACGTGAAACTGCAAGCAGAGCTGCGTGGGGCCGGCCCCATGGCGTATCAGGCTAAGCGTCAGTCTGCAGTTCTGGCATCCCATAGGGGCACCAACCCAGTTCAGATCCTGGCTGCTCCACTTCAGATCCAGTTCACCGTTAATATGCCTGTGAAAGCAGTGGGAGATGGCCCAATGCCTTGGGACCTTGTACCCACATGGGAGAGCTGGAAGAAGCTCCTGGTTCCTGGCTTCCAGCCAGTCCAGCTCTGGCTGTTATAGCCATTTGGGGAATGAACCAGTGGATAGAAGGTTGATGTCCACCTCCTTCCCTTTTTCTCTTTCCCCACTCTTCTCTCTCCTTTTTCCTCCCCCTCCTTTCCTCCCTTCCCCTCCTTTTCTCCCTCCCTCATTCCTTCTTTAAATTGATTTTGAAAAAGAAAGCAGAGCTGAAACTTGTAACTGGGCATTTTGATATGGGATATGGGCATTCCAAAGAGTTACGTCTTTATGTTTTCATAGCAGATTTATTTTTGATGATGTTTACATAGTTGAGAAGGATGTATGTCCATGTGGACCACCAGTTAGGGTGGGAACGGTCAAGGAATGGGGGAAAGTGGATGAGCCAGCTGCCATCAATCTCCTTTTTTCTTCCTGTATCTAAGGGAAGAGGAGTGAGAGGAGAGGGCTGCCCCTAGCAACCTAACCACACCAGTACCCAAGTAAGTAGGGTAGCCATTCAATGTCCCCCTCGGGTCCTGATGTCAAGCATGTTCCAAGGGTATTGCTCAAGTGGTTTTGATAGTTCTCATATACTGTTGATTTTATTGCTCCAAGGTGAGGAAATCCCTCCCAGATCCATTGGCTGACATAGTCCGCCTCGGTCTCCACTCGCCCAGATAACTGCTGTTGAAACTCAACCAGGAGAGCTGTCCAATTCGTTCTGCCCTGCATGGCACTAGACGTTCTCTGCAGGCCTCCGTGATCTCTCATGTCTGCCATGTGCATCTAACATGTCATCCACTGCACATGCTTCAGCAACCGAGGAGGCCCAGTTCTGACACATGCACAGGGAGTCATGTCTTAAGCTCTGCCAATGACCACCCCACTAAATATTTTTAAATTTCTTTAAGTACTTCCTTACTCTTGCACTCCATTTTGTGAGACAGTTTGACGCTTACTTAAAGGTTTTTTTCCAGTGGAGTTAGAGCAGACTACTAAAGCCATACTCCTTCTCCTGCCCCATGTGTGGGGGTTGTTCCTGGCCTTATGAGCTCACTGAATGGTGCTGTCTGCTGTCTGCAGTGGTCCTCACAGCCATGCACTGGGAATCCTGAGCGTCCTGTCTCCGCAGTGCCTCACGTTTGCATTGCTCTCCTCAGGACTCAGTCCACCTTGGCCTGCATGCTCCACTCTGGCCCCAGTATTCATGAGACTGCCAGGCCCACTTCGGGACTTTTTCTTTGCCTTGCTGCCTGGACATTCTTTTGAGGTAGTAAGTTGGGACTGTTACCTCATTTTGTTTTGTATTCTTAGAGGAAAGGTACTTCCTGATGTATGTTGTCCAAAAGCCAGTTTCATATAGTGTATGTTTGTGTGTTCATGTGTGTTGTGTGCATGTGTGGGTGTGTGTGTGTTTAAGAGGAAAGGATAAATCCAATTCTTTTCCTCCATCTCAACCAGGATGCTTTGTTTACAAAAAAATCTGTGAAGATGCAGGTTTTTTGGGTGGGGAGGGTGGTCATTTATAAAACAGTTTTACTCCACGTGATGTTCAGTTTAAGTGCTCAACTCCAACTTTCAAATTATGTGTGATCTTTTTAAAATTAATTCTTGGGGTTTTTTAAGATTAATTCTTGTTTTTCTTTCCCCCCAAGGTTCCAATATTGAAAAATCGGTGAAAGACCTCCAGCGTTGCACAGTGTCTCTTGCACGGTATCGAGTTGTAGTTAAAGAAGAGATGGATGCTTCCATTAAAAAAATGAAGCAAGCTTTTGCTGAGTTGCAAAGCTGGTAAGTTAAGTTGCAGTTGATATCAGTAACACAGAAATGACCAGTTATAAAGATGGCCAACCATTCATTGAGTTACTTAATTCCCAGTTTCTGACTCCTCCTCCTCATAGGGAGAGATCTAAAACTCCTGTGCTACATCTAGCTTTGTCTTTCTTTTCTTCTTCCTTCCTTTCTTTTCCTCAGTGTTGCTGCTTGTGTGTTAACTTGCTTTATTTATTTATTTTTTTTTGGAAAGCTGAGAAAGAGAGACAAAAACCTATGGAGATCTTACTGTGATTCATACCCTCTCTCACCCCACAACATCTGCAACAGTGAGGGGTGGGCAAGGCCACGTCCACGAGCCTGACAGTGAGGGGTGGGCAAGGCCATGTCCACGAGCCTGGAGCTCCCTCCACATCTCCTGCATGGATGGCCGGGACCTTAGGTACTTAAGCTGCTCCCAGGGTGCACATCAGCAGGACACTGGACTGGAAGTGAATGAGCGAGTACTCAAACCAGTTACTGTGAAACGTGGGATGCAGGCGTCCCAAGCAGCAGCCCAGTGCTCTGCCGAGTACCTGCCCCTTTGTGCTCCCTCTGCCTCTGTCCTTTTGTTGAGCACAACATGGGAATGAGTGTCTCAGAGAATACATGATGCTTTAAAAATGGGTATTATTCAGAAAGGGACAAGTAATTGTAGAGTAGGTAATATATTCCTACTTTATATTCTTATTTTAAGATCTGTTTAATCAGGGGCCCATAATGAATGACATGTTTTGTTTTATTTAAGGCATATGTATATATGTGTGTATTTGAAAGGAAGAGTGACAGAGAAGACAAGGAATGCCCACAACAGCCAGGACTGGGCTAAGTCACAGCCAAGAACTCCATGCAGATTATCCATGTGGGTAGCAGGCACCCAGTTACCTGGGCCGTCCATCAGCCGCTGCCTGCTAGGAACGTTAGCATGAAATGGGGCAGGAAACAGACAGGATCCCATCCCAGGCACTCCACTGTGAGAGGCAGCCATTCAAGCACTGATTTAACCTGCTGTGTCACTGTGTGGGCACATTGACTTTTTTTTTTAGACAAAATTATAAAGTAGGAAAGATCTATCCTTGCTTTGCTACATTCTTTCTACCTTCTTAAAGCTCTATCAACCATTGACTTGCCTTTAATTTTGTATTTGTCAAACTTTATACATTACTCATTCCTTAAATTATATTAATATGTAATATATGATAAAAATGATGTTTTTGTAGGTTGAAAATATTTAAGAGGTTTGAAATACTTTTTAAAGTTTTTCTACTGGATTTCTCCAAATTGTTTTAATTTATTTGAAAGAGGGAGAAGGCTGGCATTGTGGCATGGCAGGCTAAACCTCCACCTGTCATGCTGTATCCATATGGGCTCAACTTCCAACCCAGTTTCCTTCTGATGCACTTGGAAAAGAGGCAGAATATGGTCCAAAAGCTTGGGCTCCTGTATCCATGTGGGAGACTTAGAAGAAGTTCCAGACCCCTGGCTTTGGCCTGGCACAGCCCTGGCCCTTGCCACTGTTTGTCAAGAAAACTATCAGACAGAAGATTCTTTGTATCTCCTCCTGTCTTTGTAACTGTCTTTCAAATAAATAAATAATAGATTGTTAAAAACAGGGGCAGTGCAAAACAGGCTGGAAAGTTACCCACTGGCATACATTTGGCATGGATCAGGGGCAGACCAGGCTGAATCAGTTCACGTCATCCACCGGCAAATCCAAGCACCAAAACAGAGTAAATCAAGCTGGGTTTGGTTGCAACAAAACCTAGTGTACGATACGGAATGCTAAGCAACATGCATTGAATATAATAATCTCCATTACACAGTTACTATATACTCCCTTAAATGAAAAGCCACAGAACAAAATCAACAGGAAGAAAAAATAGGAACTTATAAATGCCAAGAAGTTAAATAACATGCTGCTGATTGACTAACATGTCACTGAAGAAATGAAAAAGAAAATCAAGAACCCTCTTGAAGAAAACAATGCTACTATGTGATCTAAAAGTCATTGGAGAATTTAATGAAAAAAAAAGTGTTTTGAAGAAATGAAGCTAAAAACAAAAATATCAAAATCCATGAGGTACAGCTTCCGCTGATCTTTGTTGGTGAAATGTGTCTCCCGTAGGCAACAAATAAATGGGTTTTGTTTTTTAAATCCACTCTACTAATCTTTGACATTTGATTGATGAGTTTAGCCATTTACATTTAGTGTTAATATAAAGAAGTGGTAATTTAGTCCTGTCATTTTAGCAGTGGTTTGTTCATTGTTTTAGTCTTCTGTAGTTATTTTGCTGGAATGTTCTTCACATTTGCCTTTGGTTTTGGTGGGTGCTATTCCTTTTCTCTGTCAAGAGAACACCTTGAAGTAGCATTTGTAGGGCAGGTTTGGAAGAAGCAAATTCTTTTAACTCTACTGTGGAAGAATTTTATTTCATTTTCAAAGGCAAAGGAAACCTTGCTGGATATGTTATTCTAGGCCAACAATTTTTTCCTTTTAGAATCTGGAATATGTCGCTTCATTCTCTTCTGGCCTGTAGAGTGTCCTGTGAGAGGAATCCTGTAAATTTAATAGGCATTCCTTTATATATGTCAGTTGGGTTTTTTTTCACATGCACATTTAAGAATCTTTTCCTTATGTTTGATTGAAGAAAGCTTGATTAGCATGTGTTGTGGTGAAGATTGCTTTTTTTTTTTTTTTTAAGATTTATCTTTTTGTTGCAAAGGCAGATATACAGAGAGGAGGAGAGTCAGAGAGGAAGATCTTCCATCCGATGATTCACTCCCCAAGTGAGCGCAACAGCCGGTGCTGCACCAATCCGAAGCCAGGAGCCAGGAACTTTCCTGGTCTCGCACGCGGGTGCAGGGTCCCAAGGCTTTGGGCTGTCCTCGACTGCTTTCCAGGGCCACAAGCAGGGAGCTGGATGGGAAGTGGAGCTGCTGGGTTATAACCGGCGCCCATTTGGAATCCTGGTGCATTCAAGGTGAGGACTTTAGCTGCTAGGCCACAGTACTGGGCCCGAAGATTGCTTTTGATCAAGCCTGTTGGGAGATCTGTGCTTCTCCTGCATATTATTTCCCAATTCTTTCTGCAGGTTAGGGAAATTTTCTGTTAGTATTTCATTGAATATGTTTTTAAACATAGCTTCTCTTTTTGCACCATCTGGAACTCCCATAACTCTTATATTTGGCCTTTTTAATAGTGTCTCTTAATTCTTGAATACATTTTTTAGCTTGACCCAACTCTGTTTCCAGCTTTTTGTTTGTTTCCTTTTGATGACAGGAAATAACTTCCAAATCTGAGATCCTTTCTTCTGCCTCTTTCATTCTATTATTGAGACTTTACACTGAATTTTTAATTTGTTCTATTGTGGCCTTCATTTCCAATAATTTGGCTTGATTCTGTTTCAGTGTTGTTATTTCCTGTGTGGCATGTTCCGTATATTCCTGCATGTGCTTCTTGTTATTAATAAGAAGCTTTAAAACAAGTGTTTTGAATTCTGTATCTCCCGTTTTTCTATTTCTTCTTCAGTTAACTCTGAGGTTGGCATAGGGTTTTGCTCCTTTGCAGGGAAGTCTTCGGTAATATTGTGTCTTTGTCTCTTCTTTGGCTCTTGGTCATTATACTTTTGGTTAGCAGAGTCTTCTCCTTGGGGGCAGGTGTCACCACAAGTCTGCAATTCAGTTTTACTTATTGTGGTTGGTGCCCAGTTCTTTGAATACAGTCATTTGTGCCACTCCCTCCAGCGAGTTCCAGATCTGGGCTCTTATGTTAGACTTCCACCATGGTCTCTGTAGCCCCAGCTCCTGGCTCAGCAGTCTGTCTCCTGTGATCCTGTACTGTTGCTGCACCATTATCTCTACAAGGTTTCTCCAATTTCCGATTCATGCAGTTCCCAGGATTAGGGAGACACCAGGCGTCCTAAATAGCTAGGTGGCTGGCCATGCTGATCTTGCTGGAACAGCTGGCCATTAGGTCTGAGGGCAACACAGACCTATTTTGAGTTGTGTTATTTTGTTGTGGGACCAATGCAATGGGTTGAACTCAATGAACTCTCCTCCAGCTCAGCACATGCGCAGATCACTGTTGTCCCTGAGTCTCATAGCCTTTGCCACACAGTATAAAATGGTGCTTGATGTGACACTACTGGAGTTCTTGATCTGCTGGCCTTCAGGCTGAGGGCTACTCAGACCTATCTTGGTTGGAACCTGTAGGATGCTGTTGTAGGGGTTTTGACCCAGAATATGGCAGCAACCTCAATTCTTGTCTCGCAGGAAAGAATTTTCATGCGGACACAGTTTAGTTTAAAGCAAGATTTATTAGAAAAGCTGAGAAAAGGAACTCTGGTCCTAATGACGGGACGGGACTTCGAGGGAAAAAGAACCCGTACCTCCTGCCATAGTGGCAGGAGGAAGAGAGAAAAGAGCCCTACACCTCTGCCATGGTGCCAGGAGGAAAAACAGAAAAGAAAGACCCGGACCTCCTGCCACAGTGGCAGGAGGAGGAAAGAGAGATACCCTAATTAATGGTGAGGATAGCATCTTTTAAAAGTTCACCTCTAAGAAGTTTCTCCATAAACAAAGGAGAATTCCTGGTTTCCATGGTGCCTGGCCCTGGGACGAAAGGCCCAGAAAGGTGTATCCAACCATCTTCCTTAGTCCCTTTTTAATGATAAAGAGGCCAGCTCGAAACTACCCCTTTGGCAGTGGGGAGAGAGAACACGGACTGAGGGACTCTTTGGGTGGGAAATTGGTATGTTAATGTCACCCTGGTCTCTTGGGGAAGCACGTTCTGGATATGTTAAAACATGCACTTGTCTCTTGGGAGAGGTCTGGTGAAGCTAAGCCATGGTGGGGAAAATACCCTTTTATATTTGATTTTAAAAATGAGGACTTGGGGACCCACCATACCCTAACTGCCCACTGCCCAGTCTAACTCCTCTCAATGCCACATTGTTGAAGTTCACTGTCAGCTCATTGCA